TAATTTGATTATGGTCAATTATTCACAAAGCGATCGGGCCTCGTTCCGTTTTTTATCCTGCGCTAATAAGCCGAAAAGTATCTAATTTGGACGGCGGTGTCTTTGCTGCTAACAAATTAAACCACTTTAGCGTATCAGGCAATGAAATTAAATCAATATTAACAATCGATAATTAAGTAAGTTTAAAATGGTGCCATCATATAAAACGTTTATTTGATTTGCCCAACTATTTACATACTTACTTAATCACCGCTTGGCTTGAGAACATGCTTTTAGAATTAAGGTTAATTCCTGACAGTTCTACAAATATAGAAACGCCGTGTTAATTAATGTTTTCGTTATTTAAGAGAATGTCAAACACGAGTCTAATCTCCGGATTACAATAGGGTTTAAAAAGTAGATAACAAAAGCGAGTGTGGCGGGTGGGATTGCTACGCTATCTGCGCGCGCGCACCGCAGTAAAAGCTCATTGTAACTCGAGCCTCAAATACGAAATTGAATAATGCTGACCTATCCCGCGACCGCCTTGCCCATAAATCACCGAGATATTTATGTCCCTCAACCCCCGCGCCACCGCCGCACCCCTCCACACTCCTTTGCCTTATTCGCGTTCAGGGATATAAAATATTAAATAAAAACTTACATAAAATGGTAAGTAATTCCGATTGGAATCGGAGAAGAACAGGCAGTGTGGTTCTGCGCCTATTCTGCGGTTTGCTGGCTAGCCAACCAGCCAGCCAATTGCTAAACCGTTTTACTAAGGAATACCGGCTCATATTGCTTTTCACGTGCTCGAATGACATTATAGACCCGAGTGTAAAATAAATTATGGAATAGTCAGTTAACGACTGCGTACTTGCAGTCATTCATCGAGTCAACACATCTCAAGATATGTATTACGTAGGTATAGATATAGGTGACACCTATGTACACTTAAAGTGAATTAGGTAAGATGTACTTGCGCAAAATTTATAAAATACACTTGTATGCGATTTAATATTTCACTGCGGTGATGATGTAAATCCGGGCAATTGTTTGTAAATAAAGATTACAGGCCTGTGGAAGCTGTAGCATAAATCCCGAGCTGTCACCGCGCACGTTACGCAACACAACAACCGACGGAAAGAGCATAACGCATTTATCTGTGAAGCATCTGGCATGTAATGTACCGCTTCCCGTGCGCATTAACTTTACTTATATTCCCTCTTATTTATGAGAAATAAATAATACTATTAGACGGAGATACCGATTCCTGATAAAAAGTGGGCCCGAGTTAAATGGGAGGCTCGGTGGAGGCAGAAAGAAAGTAATGGAGGCGCATCGAACCGGTTTGGAGATTTTTACGAATGCAAGGCTGCTCAGCTCGGCTCCGACTATGTGCTGCCCGCGGCGAGCACATAACATGACCGACGCCGGATTCGCGCCGGCCTTTCTTCCACGCACACACTTGCGTCTGATCGTCCGTACATTCCTTCAACCGATTATTATCTGCATATAACTGGATTCAGCCTAAAGATACCTACGCCCATTAAAATATTTGCTGTGCAATCAGCTCGGACTCTTGAGTCATTATTTACAAATACTCGCTCAAACAATAGTATCCTTGAACACTTCAACACTATTTCAGGATTTAGGTTGACTTACTTTGAGTTATGTGTGATGACGTTAAGCGTATAGAGCTTGTGTTTGGGCATTGATGGTAAACACGTTGTCCAAACGCTAAATCAAGTCGACTACGTCCTAATTACAGCCGATTGACATTGCATCAAACTGTTGAGCTCAGAAATAGCACACCCATAAGCAAGTCTTAGTGAAGCCAGAGGATAAATTGCCCACTTTTGTTTAACAATACAAAGTGGGGGTTCTCATTAGGAAATACATTTCTGCACTAAATATTGCATTTGTGTGACCAGACAAATTTATTCTCAAATTATGACAGAACTCATTTTCATAATATCCTATTTGATGTGTCTATTTATAAAATTAGTTTCACAAACATTTTTTTTAACATAACAGGGCAATATGTACAATAATTCACGCAATAATAGAATTATTTAAAATTCTTGTCTCCTAACAACATATTGCAGATTCTTAATTGTTTAGCAATAATGATATGAATGGCTTGTTTACTTCTGATTGCACAATCAAGACATTTGTAAAGTTTGTAAGTTTATAGTAAACCACGTATATCAACAGGAACGACACAATAGCCGTCCACTTTCAGAGATAAATAACGAGGGACAAGTTGAGCTAGTAGCAACGCAATTTGTGCAAACATATAAAATGTAAATGTAATATTTTACCGCAACTGACTACATTTCTGCGTTTACTTGATCTTACTAAATGACTCGTACGTTATCTTTCATCGGCACTAAGGTAAGAACATCTTTGAAGATGAAGTATGAAAGCATCAATTATGGAATGACCTTTTAGTTATAGTATAGACAGAATGTCATATGACCCACATCCAACATAGCAAGTACATGTAACTGTATACTGTTTAGGTTTGTTGGTGAATTTGTTTGTCAACATGCGCACATGTTTGACAAGCCATTAGAGCGAGGCCAAACACATACTTGTCCATCGACTTCACTGAAGGCTGAAATATTAGTTTTCCAGCTACTGACCGATTTTCCTTCTAAATACAAAATAAACTTGCGTTCATACCTATAAAGGTACGCAAACAATAGATGTAAATGTAATTTATTATAACTTACTGATTCACTTACATGATTTTGCAACTAATTTGTAAACAGGTATTATGTACCTAACTGTCTTGTAAATACTTAACGAATAACAGTTTATAAATAGTTTAAAGATATATCTGCCTATTTTAGCTTGAAATAAATTCATGTTTAATGTTTTACCTACGTACCAAAATTACTAGGTACTTTGTACATAGTTTAACGAACATTAACTAAGTAAATGGTAACTCAATCAAAAGGTGGTATTTTCTATTACCAGGAAACGATTTCCACATTTTCCGCTCGGTAAATCCGAATGAATCATAAAGTTAACATTTACATCTACAATGACAGATTTATTTTATTACTAATTTAGTATGTTTTGTGTACAAGGAAAACTGAACTACACAATTATCAGAAATGTTTCATTCTGTCTGTTAGTCTACGAATATCTTCACTAGTTTTGCCTATCCTTTGCGGCTTCGTTCAAACTAAACCTGTTTCTACTAAGCTGAGCCTTAATGAGGTTCCTAGCATTAAGATTCTAGATACCGAATATCTATTTCATTCAATTTTTTCGACTGTAATATTATTCCAATTCAACGCTTATCGTGGGAAAATCCAACGCATCTATGTGAGCCAACTTGAACACTTTACTGCAAAGGTAACGGCGACACACGGGATCCTCCGATTTAGTGCTCCACGAGATTGCTTCGAGACCTACACATTAGTACCTACTTTTACTTACATATATATCTATACTCCGTCTGTTTAGGTAGTTAACTATTTGTAAACAAACCATAAAAAGAGTTCTTTATAGTTGACATTTCCATGATTCAAAATACTTCATAAGAAAATAAAATTGTTTCCCTTTTTACGACAGTTTTCTCTATTAAATGTTATGTTTCTGTTCCTTTTCACTTATTTCTTAGTAAATATTATATATATCTGCTTGAGGATATTAATTTATTAACATTTATTAAATAATATAATATTTCATTACAATAGACACCATAAAGAGCCTAAAATCCCAGGTATCCAAAACCCTTCTTTAAGAACGAAGCAAAATAATGTTGTCAAATTAAAGAGTACAACTAAGATGTAGCGCGACAATGAAAGTAGCGTGTATTACGTTTAGTCGGTTAATCAGGCGCCATTGACAGCTCTCTCGTCGTTTGCGCTCGCGTTCCTATTTTGTTGAATTTATCTTGTTTCTTTGTTTTGTTTTTGTTATTAAGTTATTTAAGTTTAGGTTAGTCATCGTTTGTAATTAATGTGTTCAAATATATTGAAGAAACTTGGCCCAAAAACACATATCCGTAGAAGAAAGAAATCCGTACATCAGATTCAGAATAGTTTCTATTTAAACATGATAATGAAATAGACCCATAGGCTAGGCTCTTGTACGATTTAGGCATTTGTACTTGTATGTGTGTGTATGACAAATGAACGATTTTAAAGTGAATTTAGTTAAAATTAAAACACGAGAAATATTCGAAGTAATAGTAGGTTAAGTATCTCTGTGTCACGTGGTTTTCTTTGTTTACCTTTAGTTAATTACCTAAACAGATGGACTATAGTGTTTTAGGCCCACGCAAATGCATCCATAGCTATTAGAATGGTAAGTACATGCAGTATAGAAATTTCCATCAGGAATCCACGCGGTTTCTTTGATGATACTATGTACTTATTTGCTAACCGCGATTGTCAATTACTCATAGGTATAAACTTATATAACGACTCCGTAAATATTGCTTACGGTACCTACCTACATATACCTATAATAATAATATCAATGATGAACAATTTTTTGTCAAATTTAGTTTAATTTTACTCCGGGAATCGGTTTGCAAATTAGCTATTTTACGAACAAACCATATTATGATTGTGATAATATACGATGAATGGCGAAAAGACCAATTAAAGAAAAAAAGGTTACCTACAAACGTTACTAATTAGCCACTTAATACGCCAAAAAGTTTTTAAGTTACAAAAGTAGTTGGCAACATGCCATTGCTTAGTGCAATTTGTCAACTTGTATGTCGAGAATGCCAAGTGTGGTTTCAAGATTAAGTATTTATACATTTCCACGTTTATCGCTAGTTAGTACTAGTACGGACTTCAATTGAAAAACTATTGAAACTTCACAAACGTACATTCCGACATGCCCTTGCTTCTTCTACATAATTGTGCCAATATCTTATTACATCTTGGCATATTTTTTTCTGAAATTTCATTACTGTCCCGTCAATGAAATGAAATGTCTGTTTTTTACAGGTGCTGATTATTTATTTACTTTGGCATATTTTTGAAAAGCTATTCATTCACAGAACTAGTCTTTAACAGTAACTAAATAAGAATTATTTTGACATTAAGTTTGAATAATTATGAGCGGGCTTATAAGACGGCAAAAGTCAAGAAAATAGCCCTCGCTATCTTGTGTTTGCGTTTTCTGGAGTAAATAGGTCACTATGTTGATCGTAGGCGACAAAACACTCAAGCATTCAAGCTATACACTACTTCAATGTTTTAAGCCGATTTTTATAGCTACACGTGGGCTCAAGCGGCATAGACACGCCTCACAGGTCACTAACACATTACAAACTACGAAACGATTAAATTAAAATCAGAAATAGAAAAATTTTTACATCCTTGGAAACATATCAAGATTGTTATTTAAAGAAAATCTTTCAATGCTTTTGAGATGTGTGATGCATTTTCCGGTACATTTTCTTTAGCGCTGTTAAATTTAATCATTTTAAAAGTATGAATCGTTTACTAATTATTGGTTTGACTTAGAAGTAGGTATTTTGTGAGTCACACACAGGAATACACACTAAATTATTTAGAGGCCGGATTACAGTTTATCGTCAGATCCCAAATTGATAATAATGCGTCATTAAAAATACTATTATCAAATAATTCTATCGACACGATTGCAAGGCGTTGCGCGTTCTATAAACAATTAATTGTAAACAGCTTAAACTCTTAACGTAGGTGAATAGTTTTATACTATAAATATTTTTGCGCGGTATAAAAGTGGAATCTGTACAATAAACACATACCTAGAAAAAATGCGCATTAACTATTCGCCGGAAACTAAATAAGTAATTGTAACAAAATTATCTTCAAGCGTGCAAGAAATTTCGGGGAGGTTTTGAATCAAATTTAATTAATTATAAATGCTTGTCAAATAAAAAACATATCCCCTTTGTTCTAATACGTAATGTTGAAGTGAATCTAAACACAGCACAATGTAGCAACCCTCAACAATAAGTTTCCCGTAAGTTGTCTTTATACTTATAGAAAACGACTTGAATGACAACGCACGATACTGAATGCCTTCTACACCAAATTTTATGATGGCCATATATTTCCAAAACTGGCATCAATATTGTAAAGAATTCATCATTCATCCATTAGTCACAGAACCAAAATATTTGTTGACAAAGCCTGCGTAATTGCAGTGTTACAATCGGAACACTCGCTACGAAGCTACCGTAACGCCCGCAATTTGTTCCCATTGTTCCACGCGCGTAATGTTTACATCAACGATTGTCCCTGCCCGCGCACTAAGGAGCTGTTTTCAAAACAGCGGACACTTCATAAAATCCATTGTTTGTAGATGACAGAAGACAACATCCAACGACTGTAACTGTCCTGCATTCTATTGCATTGCCCATTAAACGTTTCACACTGGAGTTCCTAATTCGCTGCACTTGCCCGTCGGTGCGGCACTTTAGGGTTAATTCAGAAAAGAGGAAAATTCTTGGGAAATTGTGAACTCTCACCTGTGTCATGAGGCGATCAGCACCGGTCCCCTCATCATCCCTAAAGTCGATGTCCGGATTATAATTCGGCACTAAGTCTTTAAACCTCTCGTCGTCTCTGGTGATGCGACCCTCAGGAGGTCCACTGGCGGTATTCTTGTTCTCACTAATGTTAGGGTCGTGCTGCCCGAAGACCAGGGGTGTGATGCGGCGCGTGCCCTGACGGCGGGTGTAGCCGCGGCTCGGGCCGCATGCCGCCGCCGCGCCCAGCCACAGTAGCACCAGCGACAGCCTCATCTCGCAGACATCACTCCACACGCGCTCGACGCACGACCAACGCGCGCCGCGATCTGAGCGACACTGAGAGCCGGCAGCCGCAGCCCGATCCGATCGCCCGTGCACCACCGAGCCGGGCTGCATCCCTTGCTCACCGCCCATGCCGCCACCACCACCGAGCGCGCTCGCACGCCTCCGCTACTCGCACCGCTACGCATTTACAGCTCGCTATTACTTCAGGAAAACTGATTGTCACATTACACTCATAGTAATTATGTCCACTATCATTCAATACTTTAAACGCATGCATAAATGTCAATATTTTTATCAACTACCTGCCAAACATACGTTTTCTTAAAAAATTTAAAAGATATGCTAAATATTAAATAAACGCAGGTATTTATAAAAAAAAATATAATGTTTGTAATAGCTAACAAGAAGTTAGTTATGTTTGCTTCGAGATTTGCGACGAATGACATGCACATTCAAACAAGCCAGCAATTTATAAGCATAGCATTCACAGTTTGGATGTGACAAATTAAGTATTTCTACAAACAAATAGGTGTAATAATTATGTATGTATGTACTAGTAAAAAGTCCTAGCTACCTATACACGCTAATCTAAGCAATATACGTAGTTTTTAATTTAATCTCTAAAATCGCACTACGTACAATCAAATTAAAACGAACTCAAAGAGGTCTATCTGGATTTGTGGTCTCACAAAGTACACTTTGGTATTAAAAAACTAATAGCCCTTTGTCTTCATACTGAAACAAAAGTCATGAAACGTGAAGATTTTGCTAGAAACGTGCAAAAACCATGAATCATGAGCATATTGGCATAACATTACGCCTTTTATTCCCCGCGCGAATCTACACACTTGCACACATTGGGTGAAAAATATGTAGGTGTTAAGTACATTGTTTAATTATGTGCACCTCTGGCTATCCTTTGAAAAAAGATATCTCTTTATGTTGTATTTTCTTGATAATTATTATTTCAGGTAATTTTTAAGCATGAAGGTTTTCCCATTCTGTAATGCTTACTTAGTGATGTGATCAACAAACATGAGTAACCTCTTAAGAGGTACATTTCTATAATAGAAAAACGCCATGTAACACTCAATTTGTGGTTAGGGAACTATGTCACATGCGAGAATCACATGACGGTAGGTGTTCACCATAGGCATTCACCATGACACAAATTGTTCATATACGTAGGTATTTAGATACTAGTTTAAGGAAAATATTAAATACATATTTAACTATTGTAAATACTCTCTCAATGAAATTACCTAAAATTAACTCATACCACTATTACCTTGCCTATCAGCATAAATCGTCATCATAATACTTAAATACAATATTTAATTTTTAGTTTACTATTCAAAAACCGTGACGTCCTCCTAATTAGTATTTTTGCCTCACAGGAGTGAATAAACTCCCTAAAACACGATTGTGCATTGAGCAAGCGTAATGCCAAACACCGATCGTAATTCTATTACTGAAAATCCCGAAGACGAAAAGCCAAATAATAGATTTTACGGTTGCGAATTGTATCCATACACAGGCGAACGAAGAAGGGGTATGTCCTATATTTTTATTACCTACATATACAGATCAAAACTTAAAAAAGAATCGCCACCCAAACCTAACATATCACACCAACTAAGTTCTTACAATTACTAAGTAGTGTAGGAACAGAAACATGATAAGCAAGACGATACTAACAAAGGATTACTTACATCTCTTTATTATGGCGTCGTAAACTCAATGGGATATCAGTATCGCAGTCTCATATTAGCCCAACCCCATTGATCAAAGATTAATTGTTTGTCACGCGTACACTGCAAATCGAGAGCTGAGTCAGAGCTGAAAGGTGTTTATTATGACTAATGTTAGGAGGCACTACACGAATCTGACTTTCTAAGACAGATTTTAACTTTATTGCTGTAAGAAAAGGTTGAAATTTAAAAAGTATTTATTGGGGTAGGTACCTACTGGCGTCTATACTATATCACCATGTTTAAATTGAAGCTATGATCTTATACTATTTATTTCGAGGTTTCATTCTTCTTAACCTCGTAACGCAGTATTTGCTTTGGAAAGACTTGTGAATTGAAATGGCAAACCTGTTAAAAAAATATATTCACATGCATTATTTAACAAATGTTTTTAAAATTAATTATTAATTATTGGTGATCCTAAATACTACAAGGTATAAGACATTTATTGTTATTTCATTCTATGATTGTGTAGACACACCGAGTTAGGATATTGACAGTTTTTGATAGTCGCGTCAAAGAGAACATCACGTAAATATCTATGATAGTTGTTAAGAGGCTCGCCAGGAGCCTCAAGTTCTGATAACAAGCTTAATCATAAATGTCATTCACCTGTAAATTACAGTTTGTGTTTGAACGTAGTCATATTATCATTCTTAAATTGAGTCTTGTTAGACAGTGCTTATACCAATTTAAACGCATATTATGGTTAATTAATTTATTAGGTCTAGTCTAGTCTAGGTCATCTAGATAGAAGTAAATAAATTATAAATAAAATAGGTATTTGCCAGAGGTAATAATTCTATTATTACAGAAAGAATAAACTCCCGCACGCCTACGTCACTAAGATGAGGAAATCCCGAATAAAGAGTTTTTGTATACTTATGTAAATGAAGCAGGGCTTCTATTTAGGACAATTTGTACGCAATAGCTTTGTATTCGCGCAATAAAATGCATAATCTGCATAATCAGCCCGTAACTCAGACTGAGTCAGTTAGGACCAAGTTACATTTCGTTGACAACCCGCTTGTTTTTCTTTATCGCTTACATAACAAGGAAAATATTTTTACTGAGCATTAAGCTTGATAACTAATCCTTGATAACTAAGTCTAAAACATTCCTTGATAAAGTGAGGCATTTACTCATTTATTTTAGTGAGTCCTTAATCTTAATGTTTTATTGTAATACTAAACTCACGACTAGAAAAGGAATAATGTTATTAGCTTGTTGAAGTAGTTCAAAAGAAGCGAAGGAAAGGACAGACCTTCACACTTTCTTATCAAAACTTTTCAGAAAGGATCCATGAGAAACTTTAAACAAAAAGGGTGCGCACGCAACGTGCTCGCACCTCTAGCACAAAGATTTGCGTTACTCGCTGATAAGATAGGTGACGATAAGTAAAAGTAACTTCCTTTCACGTCTACCTCAGAAGACCGCCGAATATGACGTCACTTTTACTGAACAAAATAATTCTGTAACAACCATCTACCGGGTTGTTAAAGTATGAAAGTCCCCATTTAGATAATAAATTATTTTATTTCTGCACCTTTGTTAACATCAGTTGTCCTAATTGCGGTTTACGCATTATATACCTATGGTAGTAACTTAGTATATATAGGTCCCTATGCTTCATCACCTTTATCTATTAAGACTTTGACTGTCAATAAAAAACTGTTGAAGGTAAATTCTCCGCTAACGCCGGTCACCGGTGACCCCCATGGCGTTTAACGTGTTAAAGAATATGTAAGTAGTGTTCCAGTTTTAATATAGTACCTAAAACAAATTAAGCCACCCTAAAGGGACTCTTCAATAGAATTTCGACGTGACCAAGTAGTAGAGATTTAAAGCTATTAAGAAAATTGTTGACCAAATAAGCGTTTTTTATCCACTAGCATCTGTTGACATTTTACAAAAGCAAAATACTTAAATTGTCAATAGTGTCAGTTTTTGTGAGGAAGTACTAAAAAAGGTAGGTAGTTTATTCCTACGAACAAACTAGTTCGCATGTCATATTTAATTATTGACGGTCTATGCAAAGATCAATTACTGATGGACGTGGTGAAATATAAATAAAAACCTTATCAGTAACAAACGACAGGAAGTGACCGCAACAAAGAGGAACAAATTGTGTAATACTACACTAATTCTGGCGCCAGACTTGATAGAGCAGACTTCTCGACACAATACCACACTTCGCACACAATAAACTAACCCAATAATCAAGGGATGTTATTGTAACGGTCGTAACTTTAACCATTCATTCATAATTCTGAGCGGATTTTCATTCCACAAGAATTTTAAAAAGTAAACTTACAACTTCAAACAATTTCAGTTAAAATATCTGTTTTTAAATCTATTTAAAGTCGCTTGAAAAACCTTAAATATTCCATTGCTGTGAGGAACAAACACGTTGGGGTGATGAGATGGGTGAGTCAACAGAAGGATGTTTTTGAGATTTGTCCTTTATTGACAGGTACGTGGGTACCTACATCTTTTTTTGTGTAAGTAGATAGCTATAGTCGTTCAGAAGCTGAAATGGTAATACTGTTTCAGCGATAGATGTGTACCTACAATTCATGGTTTGTGGGTATAAACTATGATGAGAAATCGTGCGAATAGGCAATTTATGGAAGGTGCCATAATTTTAGTCTGGCAGTGTTTGACGATAATCTTATTTATTTTTAAAAACATGGTAGGTAGCTACCTACATGGGTATACTAGCTAGTATACCCAGAGAATTAAGTTATTAAAATAAATAAAAAAATCATGTACCTCCTTACTTACTCACACATAGGTAGGTACATTTAACTAAACAAGATCGACAAGCCGATTACCATCCTCTTTAAGGCAGCCAAAGCAAACTGTACCAAGTGGTGAACGAGTGTCGCGGCCGCACCTTCGTCACTGCGCTTGTGAGCAAACATCATTTTCGTCAAAGGACCGGCAACTCGAGGTGTCGGCTAAGGCTAATGGAGGAGAGTGCTGGACCAATACGCCCGGCGTGTAGTGTTTTAAATTGTTTACTCTTCCATAAAACTCTCGAGCTCGCACACAAGACGGGTGCCGTGTCGTCCGACGGCGCGGACGAAGTGAGATATCTCCCTACTCGGACTGTAAACAAAGCTTCCTATGAACGCAGCCAGCTCTGCATATTAAAAAGGATACCTAATGACTAATACCCTTTTCCTCTTCGTGCCTTATTATTTATTTAACCACTGTATGCAATTAGTCAGAGATGGATTAAAATACTTAAGATATCTTTCCAGAAACATGGAATTGGCTTAAATTCCAAACTTCGTTGAAAAAAAAACATCGAAGTTTAAAGGTTGCAAAGATGCAGAATCGAAAACTTGCTCGGCCAAAATACTTTGCATACTTTCGTATCGCCGGCGCGTAGCTACCGAAGCGAAATAATGTTTCAATTTTTTAAAAGATTACATCTATTGAATTAATTCCGCGTTGGTAAATGTGCATTTGTATGACCATAAAAAAAAATAAAGAATCCAAGAAATTAACATTTACGTGTTAGTATTTATTTAAAAATGTGCTTTTTATTAGATTTTAGTTACCTACTAAATATAGTATACTTACGCCCTAATACTGAAAGGCTACTCGATTTATAGTTGTAATTTAATGACGTGCCGTATCTCTGTCATTTTACAAAGAATTTGCACTGAAAGAATTATAGGTACTAAGCCCGTCTTAAAATTGTGTACCATTTCAGTTTTCGGGCATTCTGTCTACTTAATTTTAGTTTTAAAAACTAGTACAGATAGGTAGGTACTAAAACGAATAATTACTCTTGAGTAACATAATTATTATCTGACCATCCGAATCCAACTTCCACCGCCATCCCGATCCCGTGAATATTAAGCAAACAAAGATATATTGGAAAAATACCAAATACAGAGTAGATAGTTGTGTGACCAGGTGCAGGAATGTGATGGAAGTTAAAGAAGTATGTAGGGATCGTACCAGGTGGTGTGGTTTTTGCCGACCCCCATGGGACAACTGCGTGAATCTAATAGATATGTACCTACCTATGTAACTGTATTATGTAATAACTTTAAATTGTTGAATCTAATCCAATATTAAAACATGTGAGCATAGAGTGAAGAAGAGAGGAGCATTTCAGATAAATATTATCTGATAATATTTGTATCAATTCAATTAAAGTTAGCTATGACTTTGGGATAATAATATAAACTCTGACAATCCATTGTATCCACTTCAACAAGTTAGGTATTCAAAAGCACTTTTTAAATGAAACTCATAAAGATACAAGGTGTAAAGGAGTCAAACCTGTTTGGTTCATGCGATGCCCTCTAATTGACAAATTGGAATCTTATTAAAATAAAGTTCAAGTTCCTAACTGAACGGGCGCGGGCGCAGGCAGACGTGTGTGATGTCAGTGCGGAGCCTGCCGACCGGGTGCCGAGCAGTGCCGAGTGAACACGATCGAGTCTCAAGCGGCGAGAATAAAAAGTCAGCAGCATTCGAAGCGCGTGCCTCGATGTGTGTGGTCCACTGTGGAGGTCCTCCTCGGCTTTTGATTTATTGAAATCAGAGTTTCACACCCGTTTTCGGTAGTTAATTTGATTGCTGGTGTGCAAATTTTGAAATTATGAGATTTAATTTTATTATTTGTAAGTATTTGGGTTAAAATTAAGTATTACGTATTTTTTACTTCATTTAAGGAGTGTGCTTCACAAGTTCACGAATTTTGGACAGGCATGATCATTAATGGTGTATTAAGTATATTAACAATATTATGTTTATTTCTACCGTTGTTTTTTTTTAGTTATCACGCCCTATCTCCCATTGGAGTAGGTCACTGTGGTAATGTCCCGCCAAATGACACGATTATTTTCTTTTGTAGTTAGTACTTATCTCTTTCGCTTCCTTTAAATTATTTTTTATATACTATATCTGATACCTGATTAAGCAATTAGCACCACCCCCAACAACACTTGGCAACACCAAAGAACTTACAAGTGCATTATCTGCCTTTCAAGGATTAGGGATTCTGGGGATAGTAGCTTAGACCTCCGATGAAACCTATATCATACGGCAAAACAGAACGTACGTTAATGTTTCGATATAATTATGCATGTAATGAGACAGGAAAATTAGAAAATAATAAAATTACTATTTCCAACAAGTATTTCTTTACTCTACCAATTTTTAACATTATTTTCTTACTACATGAGAATAGTTTTGATTTAATTTTAACGCCGAAAACACTTGTTGCTCACTATCTGCAATAACTAAACATAATTTTATTTATCTACCCATCTACTCAATTTACCATAAAAGTGTTCCTACTAAGCTTTTTGCTTTAATCCGAATATACAGAATCTTCTTTAGCGATATTTTCAGCTTCAGTAACAGTTTTCAGATCCATTTCGAAGGTGGTGATGTCACTGCTGGAATTAGCGTTAAGCTCTGGATATCTAGGTATTAACTCAAAATTATTGACATCATACATTTCATCAGAATTTGTTTTCCACTTACTTGCAATGATTTGCAAGGGTTCTAAGCACTGTAAACTTTGCTTAACCCTCAAGAGTTCAATGTTACATTGATTTTCTACTTCTAAAAGCTTGAGACGATAAGCTTTGGCCAACATTTGCTTCCTAATCGCATTTTTCTTTTCAATTTGCGCTAAATTAAGTGTATTCTGATATTTTTGTAATTGTTTTTCATATTCCATTAAATTTTCGTCACAGTTCAATTTACTATCCACACAGTCGCTGTATAAGTTGGTACTATACGGTAAATCTGCTGTAAACACATTAGATGCGGACAGACACTGATAGCTGGTTGTACATTTCGTGGTAGGCTCTAAAACACGTTGAGAATTTTTGCTTTGCTTTTCTAGTTTCGCTTTCTCTTCATTAAGTTCAATCTTTAATGCCTCGATTATATTTTTGCACTGAGCTATTCTTTCCTTCATTTTAGCTTCATTGTCGTCGATCATCTGTGTTGTAACCTCACTTTGTCCCTCTTTATCATCTCGCTTTTCTGTTTGTTGTTCTTCGCTTACAAGAGTTTGCTCTTCTTTTTCATCTAGTTTCGTATCTTCAAGCCTTGGAGATATAGAAATTTTATTATCGCCAGAAGCGAGTTTTATAGAATCCATTTCAAATAATATATCAGATATAAGAGTGAAATGTAAAAATGTGTATTAACAACAATATTAAAAATTACGCATTTGTCAAAACTAGTCGAGGTTCTTAGAACAAAAGATAAACAGCCAAGTACATGGTTTGAGTTGAGTTAATAAACAACCTCTATACCTATCTAAAGGTAATTTTTATATGTGCGATATTAAAACTATAGTTATTGTCCATGTTGTCATTTGACGAATGCATGCATTTGTAAATTGGAGGGAAGTGGCCACCTTTTGTGAGACTGTAATGTCCCAAAATGAGGCTGCTGAGCGAGATCGCGAGAGGGCTGATCCTGCTCGTAGAAGGCGTTGATCAGGCAACCGTTATGACGTTTAACACGTCGAAATCCTACAGTGACCTCAGGGCAGACGGTGTCCCAGTGATCACGTGCTGCCAAGCGCAGCGAGGTTCAAGGGAGATACCTATCCTTAGGCATGAGTCATAAGATAACAGGCGTTGAACTCAGAAGGCTCAGTACGAGTCTGGCCAGCTCCAATAAGTGCCATTTGAAGGTTTATCCGGCATAAAAAAAATCGATAAACAATGCATGAAAACACATGACTTATTTCATAAAACTTTTTCGCCGATTATTAACATTTGCGCAAAATATTTCAAGTACAGTTAGTTGCTTATTTCTACTATATTTAATTTTTCTTTGTGTCAAATATTGTACAAACTCGAGCGCTGAAACGTGACTATTTATACTGGTAACACCTGCACGTCATTTTGACATTGACAGTAACATCTGCTAAGTTTCGGTCGTCAGTTTGCCATTCAAGACAAAAAAAGTTTCGGTCAGTTTACCGGTTATTTTGGCGCGTTTGTAGTTATATTGTTCAGGTTATTACGCAAATTATAATTGAATATTTGCCTATTTCTTATAGATTTAACTATCACGGAAGTATGGGGCTCTTAGAGTTGTGTGAAAAGTATTTCCAAACCACGAATCTATACGAAGTTTTACAGATTCCTGAAACTGCTTCGGACAAAGAAGGTAAGTAGTTATATCGTTATTATAAATCAATCCTTTGTTTTATGTAAATATCATAGTTTATTATCCAACGAAGGACCCCATGTAATTCAAATAAACTAACGTTCTTCAAAAAGTCAAGGAAGTCATTAGCTGTCTCGTAAATTATTTGTTTCGTATGGTATTTTGATTGTGCACTCTATTTTAACTTTGTTTTAATAAGTATGTAGCTAAGGGGCTAGCATATTGAAAATCTTATTTATTTAAGCCAGAAAGAATTAAGAAATTGAACCTGTCTAAACATGAAGTTTTAATCATATTTACTTTAAATATATAATATAAAATGCAAGAGTAGGCTACCAATCTAAAATCACCACATCTAAACTTTGTTTACAGTTAAAAAGGCATATCACAAATTGTCTTTGAAAGTCCACCCTGACAGAGTAGAAGAAGCAGAAAAGTTAGAAGCTACTGAAAAATTCAAAGTGCTGGGTAGCATCCATGCCATCCTAACTGACAAGGAGAAAAGGGCCATATACGATGAGACCAAATGTGTGGATGATGATGACTTCACGGTCATTGTCGACCGTGACTGGTGTGGTTACTGGAGAGTATTATTTAAGAAAATTACTGATGAAGACATCCGAGCTTATGAAATGGAGTATGTTGGTAAGTTCAATGTAAAATATAATACTTGTTTGGTTTTAGAATTAGACACTATTTTTATTTTTTTATTAATAAGTTTAGAGAAGTGCTTGAAAGGGGTACTTGAACTGCTCAATCCCCAAGTGGTCATCTCCACCCTGGATGACACCCTGTTTAGAGAGGACTTATGAATTAACTTTCTGTATGATAATTATATCAACATATTAAGAACTGTAAAATTATTTTTTCTTTTTCAGGCTCTGAACAGGAGAAAAAAGACATCAAGCAAGTATATTTGAATGCTAAAGGAGACATGAATTACATTGTGGATCATGTACAATTTGCAAGAACTGACCAGGAACCAAGAATTAGGGAGATAATTAATGTAAGACTTCTTAAAATAACCTTATCAATAATTCTGTGATTTAACCTTATATGAAAATTGGTTGTTATAATCTTTAGTATAATCAATCCAACTACTAATAAAATATAAAATAAAAATAAATAAGGGAACATTGTATCTGAATAATTGCTAAAGCACACACTGAAATATCATTATACATTTGAAAAGTAAATAAAAGAAAATATGAATACATTATCACTAAGTCATAGTTTTACCATAAATAACATAAATTATATGTTTATTTTTTAAGGAAATGATAAAAAGTGGTGAACTACCAGAGTACAAAATATTTACCCATGAACCTGCAAGTAAACGGCTTAAGAGAATTGCTAAAGAGAAAAAGGAAGCCAAACTGGCTGAAAAAATGCAAAAGGAAATGCAAAAAGAGAACCCAGGTACAGATGCTTTTAAAGTCCTATGTTGTTATGCCAATAAAAACATTTACTTGTACTTTAGGTACAACTAGGTACATACACTTAAGCCATTCACTGCTTTTTTGAAAAGTAACGATATTACCAAGATGCTGCCCTACTGTACTATGTAGCCCGCCTATGGGGGCGGTCCCGGCATCTCGATTGTGTATTCTTGCCTGCCCATTGGCGTTTTTGGTAATAATATCCTTTGATATTTTATTCCGATATGAATCCTTTGATATTTTCAGTTTCAATGAACTGTACCACACATAAAAGGTGTATGTGCAGTTGTCTGCGATATTTGTTGCAAATTTGTGATAGTTTTATTGTTTATTCGCTGAAATAGTAATGGTTAATTATTTATTCGCGGGCTCACCATGACAGATTAGAATTGGCTTTTTTCAAAACTTCAAATATGAGCAGGCCATGTGAATTGCCAATAAATTTTAATGAAACAAATCATTACACATCATCTCACTACTTTCTGACGTTATGTCGTAAAGTTACTGCAGTTTAAAATCAAACCGCCGATGGGCGGTCTCGGCGTGAAAGTTAAATATATTGTCCGCCGATAGGCGGGCTCGGCGCTGAATGGGTATTCTCTGTATGTTTTAATAACTGAAGTTGACCTCTATCCCCTAAAGTTTAGTTTAGATTACATATCCAGTATAACAGTTGTAAATTGCACGAATCAAACTTTATAATCCTTTTTTTACAATATTTTACTAACTCCATCATTATTTCTTTTAATACATATTTTTATTAACTTTCAGGACCAATGAGCCTTGAACTTTCAATAAAGCAGAAACAAAAAGAGAGGGCTCAACAAATAGATTCCTTTATTGATGGACTAGCTGCTAAATACGGAGGTAGTGCTAGTAAATCCAAGGCCAGTAAAAGGAAAACAACTACAAAATCTGAAACAGCTGTGAAAAATAAAAGGCGAAGATAGATGTTTACTATATTTTTAATTAATTTACAAAGTTACACAACTTTTAGTATTGAAACCCAAAATAGATCTCATATCTTCAAATTTAACAAAAAAAGTAACAATCTTTATTTTCACAATTTAATTTTAATCATAGCATTTTGAAAAGTTAAAAAAAATTAGTCTAATACTTGTGCTGTAATGTTAAGACCATTTTTTACGAAAATTGTAAATGTAAATAAAATTGCAGTTTCCATTTAGATTTTGGTAATTCAGTCTTCATCTTCCATTGCAACTTCCAACTGACTTTCAGAATAAAATGGACCTTGTTCAACATATGTATGAAGCCTGCCGATAATAGTGGCATCAAATGCAGGAGAGTTAGCCAATCTTTTTATAATATCATATTTTGCTTCATTCGTCTCTTTTGTATAAACAATAGACCTATCCATTAAAAACTCAATGAAACCTGAAAATGTAGTAATAATTATTTATTAGGTTCTGATTTGTTTAATTTATTACTAATTATTAGAGATGTGAAAAACCTTTGTGAATCTTATATTTCTAAGTATAGACATTTTGGATTTAAGAGTTGTTTTATTCAGTTCTTGTATCAGTAATTTTAACATTTTTATCGCAAAGTTAAAAAAGCATTTTGTGTCTGCCTGTGAAGTGCTGGGAACTTTTTGGGTTTTCTATGAATATATGACACTGGCGGTTAAAACATTAAAATTTTATGAACAAATGAATAATCCTTACTTATATTATAAATTGGAAAGTGAGTTTGTTTGTTTGGTCCAATTTAACGCTGTAACTACTAAACCGATTGCTTTGAATTTTTGCAGATGTATAGTTAGAAGTCCAGATTAAATAATAGGGTACTTTTTATCCCAGAAAAAATTGATATTTCCGAGGGAAAACAAAAGTATTGGTATAGATGACGCTGTGTGTATATGTCACATTGGCTTTTTTTTATCCTTTTGTGACGCGAGCGAAGCCGCGGGTAAAAGCTAGTAGTATATGAATAATAAATACCTGCAGCTCTAGCTACCATCTCCTCACCCCACTGGTGTTGACAAACAGCATCCAATAAAATAAATGCAGCATGTTTTATATCAGGGAAAGGGTTCTTGCAGATTTCGAATAATGTTTCCATAGGCTTTGAATCCAATGTTCTAAACCATTCTCGTGTCATTAATGTCACTCTATGATCAACAGGACTGCTCCTTGACACAGTGGGATCTTTATCTATGCTCATGAGCCCAGCAAAGCAATTCAAAGCACGCACTTTAGTTTCAGTATTGCTGTTTCTGATCAGTCTACTCACATTATTGATAGCCTGAGTGTATTTGCCTCCTTCAAACAAGTAATGTATATTAATCGTAATATGAAGTTAAATGAGATACACAATATGTTTTTTATAAAAATGAATACACATACCCAAAGCTGCCAGACACAATTTTCCTTCAACTGTTGTACCAATAAATCCCAAAGTATCAAGAGCAACTGGTAGTACAGCTGGGTCAGCAGATTCAATAGATTCAAACAGAGTATCAAAAACAACTGTGTGTTTCTCAAATATCTCTTTAGGATAACTGTGTGCTATACATCCAAAGAACTTCATATAGCCTAAAAATTATAGTAATAATTATACACATTACCTGGTATATATTTAGAATTCAATAAGCTCAAACAGTGTCATTTATTCTTTTTTAGGCATTTTGTAAAACTTGAGGCACATAATTAAATTTCATTACTACCTGGGATTAGTAATCCTTTGAGAGGATTGTTTTGCAGCTCTGTAACATATCCTAAAATCTTTTGTAGAGATCCATTTTTCACAAGATAATTGATTCCATGAGGCTTCATAACCAATCTTGATAGCAGTTCAAGTATGTTCACTTGGTACAGAATATCATCAGTTTGCAGTTCAGATACCATGAAGTCAACATACTTCATGTCCGCACACATCTTGAACAACTCATAAGATTTTGATGAAATGTGGACTACTACCTAAAATATTACAATATTGTATTCAAAATAAACAACAATTTTAGATGTTCATCAAACAGTTATGTGAGCAAGCCGGAAACATAATAATTAATTTACTATGTCTCACAAAAGGATGACTGGCAGAGAATGCTGTTAGCATTAGTCCTCCTTATGCAATTGTGTAAAACTTAAATAAATAAAGTTTTAATACACATTTTAGAGATCTGAGTTCCATCCCAATGTAACTTACTTTTTTACTTTGACAAAATAAAGCAATACTAAGCAAAGCTGAAATAAGGATCCAGTTTTTACTAGAGCTCATATCTACCTCAAAAACATTACACTTGCTGCTGCTGTTAAGTTCAAGTGCCACCCGCATTTCCTCAAGAACTTTATGGTACGCCTCATGTGGTAAGTTAGATGTTATCAAAACTGCTTCATTAGCCACTCCCACATCTGGGTCACTAACTAACTGAGCAACGGCTACATATACATCAATATACTGTGGCACAGACAGTAAGTTTGGGCTAGTAGAAACCGCCTTTCGCACCTACAATAAATTTAATATTCTGATAAATAGGTACACATACATGTCAATGAAGATAAATGGCCAATAACAAATGTACTAACCTGCTCAATTGCAAGCCTCCTAACACAACTCTTTTCATGACGAAGCAAGTACATTATGTGACTCGTATAATTTTTTACCACATCTCCCGGTTCAAACTTTTCAAAGCATATTCTTAGAACTTCGCAAGTTAAATCTACATGTGATCTAAAAAATAAAATATGTTTCAAGGGTAATATTGACGTAAAAATATTACAAACAAATAGCAAAACAAACAAAAATAAAGGTTCATTTGTGTAGTTAATGAAAATGTTAATGTTGTGAAAGTGTTACTATCAAAAACATACGTGTTTGACACATTCAGACACTGGACAATTTTAGAAATTCCCCCATCTCTTATGGTGTTGATAGCCTCTCCAGCAGGCTTAAATGCAATTAAATTTTTGATGTCATTAAGGGCAGCCGGTATATGTTCCTCTCTCTGTAGCCTTCTTATAAATCCACGATATTGGTCGGTGTCCTCATTAGACATCTTGCTATGAGTTAATCTTTTTAAGATACAGATAAATTGTTGTAGAATTTAGTCAGATTATAGAAATAAATAAAAATATTAAGCCGAAAACAAATTGAATTTGCTGCCTGTCAACTTGTCAAGTTTTTCGCTTGTCATTGCCACAGATGAGATAACTTACATTAACTTGTTCAGTCATTGTTGACAATGTCATTGCAGCAAAAGCTAAAAACTTAAGTCACAATAGAGATAAAGAGAAGCATGCGACTAAGCGACAAAGATTCTCTCTCGAAGATCATTTTTTAATTTAGTAATTTGTTTAAAAATAAGAAACATTGATTTGATAATTATTTTAATTATTATACAAACTTTATTATAAGATAACTGTTAAGAGTATGATTTTTTCGCTCGCCAGTCCAAAAATTCGTCAATATCATCTTCATTATCTGAATCCCCGTTTTCGTCCTCACTCATTTTTTCTAAATCTTGTTTGGTCTTTTTAGTTTCTTCTTTCTTCAACTCGAGGTCTAGGACTCTGTAACACAATAAATATTTTCATGAAAAATACACTTCTCACTTCACTTCATATTTTTCTTGTTTCTAATTTGAATGAATTAAATAGGTATACTAACTTTGACCAAATTCGGATTTGTTCATCTATTTCATCAATTTGTCGTTCTGCTGTTGCCTCTTCTTGCTCTCCAGCAATGATTTCAGCCGATGCAGTTGCCTCTTCTTTTATTTCTTTTTGGAACTTTTCCCATTCCTCTTCGATAGGATCTTTATATTCAATGTTGCGGACCTAAAAAATATTTAGATAATTAATTTATTTATTTATTAATATTTATTTCAACTGTCTGCCTGATTGTAATTACCGCATTTAATAAACTGTTAGTAACTTAAGTCGTAACTTTTCAAACAAGACTTTTAGAATAGTTGAAAAATGTGTGCGATGATTGTAGTAGTAATATCGTTACTAAATTGTTATGTTCAAAATGTTGCAAAAAAATAAGTAGACGGAACGCGACAAACGTCAAATTTATAATTTCTAACATGACAATTTAATTTTATTTTTTGATCTGATTTGGTGAGAGTTACTTTTGTACTTATTGCCCAGGTGCATATAATTTCGTGTTTTCAAAATCGGAGTTACAACTTTTAGTTTACATTCTACTAATGTTGATACAAATCTCAATGTTATTGATACAAAGTTTGCCGAAAAAATTAATAAAAAATTATTCGCTAAATCATTTTAGGTCCATGAGTGGAATACAAAATAAAATGGATGAAACATGCATGTTAAAATATATAAAAACATGCATTCCGCCTTTGGACGGCAGTAATCATAAAGGTCAAGCAGGCAGGATAGGAGTTATTGGAGGTTCATTAGAATATACAGGCGCACCATATTTTTCTGGAATTAGTGCATTAAGAGTTAGTCTTTCTTTATCAATTGTATAACAATTTTGGCTAATAATAGTATTGCTATAGATAATTTTTATCTTTTCAGGTGGGAGCAGACTTAACACATATATTTTGTACTAAAGACTCTGCTACTGTTATAAAGTCATATAGTCCTGAATTAATAGTACACCCCTTACTGGATTTCCCGAATGCTGTGTCAGAAATATCACAATGGTTTGAACGGCTGCATGCTATAGTCATAGGACCAGGATTAGGCCGTCAAAAAGAAACATTTAACATAGTGACTGAACTCATTGAAGTCATACGTGAGAAAAGGATTCCTCTAGTTATTGATGCTGATGGTTTGTTTTTAATTACCGAAAAGTTACATTTGTTAAAAGAGTTCATGTCTCCAGTTATACTTACACCTAATAAAATTGAGTTTGAAAGACTTTGTGCTAAAACAAATGGGCCCACAGGTTTAAATCAATTAGGTAGATATGTGACTATATTTAAGAAAGGAGAAATAGATGAGGTGTACAGTGTTGATACTGATGTTCAATGGAAGTCTAATATTGGAGGGTCAGGCAGGAGGTGTGGAGGACAAGGAGATTTGCTCTCTGGAGCAATTGCAATCATGATGCACTGGACCATGGCTAACAAAGATAAAATACTAATGGAAACATGTGGAGGTGATAAGGTCTTATTAGCTTCTTCACTCTCATGCTATGGTGCAAGCCGTTTGATAAGACTGTGCAATGAGAAAGCTTTTGCAGTGAAAGGGAGAAGTATGGTAGCCTCTGATATGATTGAGTACATCCATGAATGTTTTGAGCATTTATTTGGTCAATAAAATTGTGCTCATACTCATGTATCATTTTTATGGTATAGTTTTATACTTCTATAATTTTATATAAAATTAATATAATTATGTTATGCTTATTTTAAGTACTTGGTATATAGCTTGTAAGGTAATTATTTTTTTGTTACTATAAATGGGGAATTTATTAAAGCAATTTTCATTAAATAGATATGCTAATTTCTCTGAATCCTTCCTTACCTTAGCATCTAGAATTGGGTCATCAAAGAAACCTTCTGGCAAAGGCTGTTCTGATCCTTGTGCTGCTTCTGTCTCTGCTGCACTGGTAGCTGGTAAATCTGAAAGTAAATTTTTATGTTAAATAGTAATAATATTTGTAGTATTAACCTGTTGTATGTAAACGTTGTTCCACACGAGACAATGTATTTTCTATAGTGTCCCATATACAGGCATTCAAGTGGTTAATAGATGTAAGAAATAACTTATTAGAACCTCTGTTGCCCTTGAAGAAGGACATAAACAATGTTGCCATTGGTATTGTAGGTATAGAAATAGTAACTTCAGTACAATCAACAAAGTTGGCGGTCAACAATCATTATGCAATATTCATATGTACTTGATGCGACTGCCAACTTTGTCAATTTGTTAACTTTTGCCCCAGAAGTCTGTCAGTAAAAAGTGTACTAGCCTAAATTTTGCCAATAAAACATGTGGCTACACATCAAACTACACATAATCAGTAGGATAACTGACCATTAAATGTGCAAAACAATCATACAAACAAGTACAATAAAGAGACACTAAAACAAGTATCAAAAGGTTGTAATTCTTTCCAATACTATTATATTAGTGGTGTTGTGTCGAGTATTCAGAATGAACTTGATTTTTGGTGAGCTGAAACAGTTCCATGTGGGACACAATAGAAAATAATAGTGTGTCCAGTTATATAAGTAACTAGAAATACCTTCTTTGCTATTAGTTGGTGTCGTGAGGACAAGTGGTGTCCTTTTTATTTCTTCATCATGGAAAGATATTACTTGTGGAGCTTTATTTTTAGGTGGCTGAGCAACAATCTGGGGTGTGTCAGAATTTTTCAAAATTCCTTTTAACTTCTTTTCAGGTGGAGCATCTCTAGGTGGACTGCTACTTTTATGTTTAATCTTTCCAACAGTAAAGTTATTTGTCAATTCTTTTAACTTTTTCGCCTTCTCTACGTTCTCTCTGTGTTGTTTACTATTTATGTGTACTGGCCATACACGTTCTGACCGAACTACTGAGTTACAAAGTATACACATTAGTTGTCCAGTATTGTTGTACTTTGCAAGTGGATTATCTATTTTTGTTGGTTTTACATTGTTCTTTTTTCGTTCAGCCATCAAACGACGCATTTCTTCTTGTGCTTTTTGCTTCTCTATTTTAAGGCGAAGTGACATTGTGTTTGTTTATAATTCGTCAGATGGTTCTTAATTACTATTATAAATTCTCTATTTATCCTATATTCAAGTGAAACTTTTCGTTATATTCTGATCAAATTGGAAAATAATTGAAAACTGAAGAAATCTGGATCTTAAAAATCCTATAGCAACAAATAAGAAATTTCAATCTGTCGTTACTGACAGTTGACATAACGTAAATACGTCAAACAACAAAACGTCACGTAGGTATGACAGCAATGAATGACATGACATCATGACATTACGATTTTTTTAGTGCTTCTCGACCTTTTGGCTAAGACCAAAGTGAATATTTTTTTGTAATGTGTTAAAAGTTATTTAATTAGCAATCACACTATGATTACAACATGATTATACATTACTAAAAATGTAAATTATAAATACTTACCTAATATTGTAGATAGAAGCATAGTTCTCCCACACTAGTGGGAGAACTATGCTTCGGCACGAATGTAGTGATGAAAGAGTATAGCTACGCCCTCACAGAAAACTGACGTGAAACGTTATTTTACGTTGTGTTTTTTGTGGTATTTCGGGTGTCCAAGAGTCCAAATGCCGTGCCGATTGCTGACCATCATGTTATTTGTATGCTCGATTATTGCCGGCTTATGCCATAAAAAAATCAATATCTTCCTAAAGAAATTTTTCACAACAGCCTATTAAAAGTTAGTCACTTGCTGAAACAAATGGCGATTTTTCTGATAAATACCTAAAATGGATAATTACCGAGAAAATATTGTTTTATTCGTTTTTGTTCGAGTATTCGAGAGTCAAAATGAATATACTGAGAAACTTACCTACTGAATACTACTACCTGCGTTCACTGAAGTCCTACATCGTGATCTGTCTTGACTAAACGATTCACCTCGCTCTATGTCTTACCGATGCTCGTCACTTTTGCCAGTACGTTGCGACGCCAGGTTTGCCGTGGATGGCCACGCTTTCATTTCCCTTGGGGCTTCCAGTCCAAGACTTGCTTGGGTACCTACATACCCACGCTCTACTTAAGAGCAAGCATGTTTCGAAGGACTAATCCATCCCCACTTATAGCGCTTAATCTGAGCAAGGCCGTTGAAAGAATGTACTATTTTGGAAATGACTGAAGCAGACTGAAGCACCAACATTCTAGTGGTGTATTTATGTGTACGTGAATTTGCAATACCATAATCTCGTAATGTATGAAGTGTAATGACGATGACGAGCCGTATCACGTGACATATCAACATATGTCCTTCGTGTCAATGAATGTGTATTCCGCCGATTCCGCGTATAAGTCTATAGTAGCTAGATGCTGCAGTTATATTGAGTAATGCTCATTGTTTCCAAGATACGGCAATCGGTGGTAGGTGATGTTGAGATTTTGTTTAAAAAAATCACGCATAAATTAAACTTTGATCATATGTATTGAAAATAATATTTTGTACCTAATATCATAAATGTATTAAATTTGAAGAAGACAGAGGGTCGGCTTGCGAGGGATTCGGAATAACAACACAAACACCACTATTACTTTCACTTTTTATTCACTTCCTTTGTTCCTTGTTCCCGCTAGGGGCGCTGGTTGTACTCGCCAACGTCAGGTTTGACGAGCAACCTAACCAAATTGATGTAACGAAACCATAGCGCGATCTATCTCGATATAAACGCCCTCTATCGAGCGACGTGACAACTCTTTAATAATATTTTATTATATTAAATGTTGATCGCGCTATGATCCCGTTACCGCTCCGAACATGCCGCCCACCAAGGACATATTGGACAAATGTCCTTAATTTGATACTGCCCACCATTCTATATTTGCCATATCCAGGGTGGCAACCCATTACCCAGACGTCCTTGGCGGTTCCAATGTATATAAACAATAACATCACCCAATAAACAATATAAATATAAAACACCTCCTGAACCAGTCACATAAATTTAACACCTATAACAAAATAAAATGCTTCCAAATTACAGTTAACAATATTAAATTACACATATGTATGAATACCTATTGCATCTTATCAGATTCCTGGCCAATAGGACTTTCTTAACATATAGTTTTGGACCCTAGAATGTATAACTGTAATATTAGAATCAATATTAGGATTTTCTACGTCAACCGTCCCAGACAGTATCCAGCCCAACGCAGTATTCTGCGCTAAGAGTGTGCCGCCTACGTTTTTCTTTAGTCCGTGTCGAATAACCTGACTATATATGTCTGCTCCTAATAACATATCAACGCTATTCGGTCTAAAATACTCTGGATCAGCCAACTCGTTATCCCGTATGTCTAGCCCTTTTACTCTGGCTATTTTAGTAGCTGGGATAAGAGCTGTAACTGATTTTAAAACGTATGCGTTTACCCTCAGTTTAAAATTTGGATCGAGCCTCGATCCGATTGTGACAACTGCCTTGGCAGTCGACGTAGCACCTTTAACTCCACCCAAACCGAATACCACATTGTTTAAAGGAATTTTCCTTAAACCCAAGTACTGGACCATCGATTCCGATATGAAAGAACCTTGTGACCCTTGGTCCAGTAACGCCCGAACCGTCTGGGGTTTCCCATTTTTCGATTCGGCCTTTAACAGGGCTGTGGTTAAAAGCACCGTTTTCTTATTACCTGTCGAAAGACATGAGACCAGAGGTTTATTCTCCGCTGGTACGAGACCGCCTACCTTATTAACCGATAAGGTTCCCTCTAGAGCAGCCGGTCTGCTCTCCCTAACTGCCAACCCAGAAACACCCGTGGGATGTATCAAAGAATGATGGCGGCGTTTACACACCCTACACCTGAGAGTATTCTTGCAAAACTTAACTGAGTGAGTATTACTAAGGCAAATAAAACATAAATTATTTTCTTTTACAATATTTCTACGAATATCTGCTGACTGTTTACAAAACTTAGGGCACGAAGAAATTCTATGAGCTGCGGAACAGTACTCGCATGTAATATTTTTCTTTTTAATATCCTTCATTACATGAAATGATTGCGTTTGCTTTGAGATTTTTTCAATTTTGTTTCCCAGATTTTCCAAACCACGAAACCGACTGATTAAAAACTCATTCAGTTGGTCAAAAGTTGGCAAATCGTCTTTTGAGTCTGAAGCAACCTGCAACTCCCATGCTTTCCGAGTCTCCCTGTCTAACCTGATACTAACAATATGTACTATCATTAAGTCCCATGATGAAATATCGACACCCAAATTTTGTAGTGAACTTAAACAGTCAGATGTTGTATTGATCAGCCTTTTAATTTCCGTAGCTGATTCTACTACCAATGCCTTTTGTCCAAAAAGTCGTTTTAAAATACCATTTGCCAGAAACCTTTTGTTGTTATACATAGATTCCAACTTTTCCCAACTTGCCTTATAATTATCTGCAGTAACATTTACATTTTTTAACAGTAGTTCTGCGTCTCCAGTTAAATATCCTTTGAGGTAGTACATCCTTTGTGCATCGTCTAACCTTTTATTGTTGTGTACCAACCCAACAAATAAATCCCGAAATGTCTGCCACTCGTGATATTTACCAGAGAACACAGGTATCTTTACATCCGGTAACTTAAAATTACAACCTGCATTACTACTTCCTATGTTGCTATTTGTATTATCAGTCTTACATTGAGCCAACAGTTCTTTAAGATCACTCTTATACTGGACATACGTTTCTTCAACCTCATCATACACACTATCCTTATGATAACTGGAATTGTATAATTCAGACCGTTTAATTTCAGTTATTATTTTCGAATGCGTATGATAAAACGTTTGCCAATACTGTTCTAGACCTTCCAAGCGTGTTTCAAGGTATGACGCAGTGAGCCGATCTTTTGAACTCTTTTTAACTATTGAACGGGCCTTTATTATCTTGGACCTAACGTCATCCTGAATAGCACTGTAAGACTCCATATCTATTTGTAAACAATAACCCAGTAGCAAATATAACAGTAACAACAATATTAGGAATGTAAAATTAAAACAATAATTACAAATCTACCAATAAACTAAGTCACTTAAAGTCTCTAGAAACACTTTGAAATTACAAGTTTCCGAATCACATTTATTATAAGACTTGTTTGAACCTTTTACCTTTTATCTCTATTACAAGTCCTATGTAATTTTGTAAATGTACTCACAGATCCTCACTCGCTCACTCACTCACTTATAACTTGGGCCACTATTCTGCGCCTCTTCCCTCCCTTGCGTCCTCCTCCAGGGTGTCCTCCTTAGTCCTAGCTGCCTCAGCTCCAAGAAGCGGCTTAAGACTATGGCTCCAGATCTGATTGCCTCAGCTCCAAGAGGCAGGTCACCCGGCTCCTCCTCCAACTCTCACCAGGTTGAAGGGGCTGACCTGGACAGTGGATCCGCCCACCGTCCAGTATTTTTACAAGGGCTGCGGTCACTCCCGACACTCGTGACCGCACAAAAAATACTCTCGGGAGTAGTTCATCCGGCTCGAAGGACCATGAAGAAGACAGAGGGTCGGCTTGCGAGGGATTCGGAATAACAACACAAACACCACTATTACTTTCACTTTTTATTCACTTCCTTTGTTCCTTGTTCCCGCTAGGGGCGCTGGTTGTACTCGCCAACGTCAGGTTTGACGAGCAACCTAACCAAATTGATGTAACGAAACCATAGCGCGATCTATCTCGATATAAACGCCCTCTATCGAGCGACGTGACAACTCTTTAATAATATTTTATTATATTAAATGTTGATCGCGCTATGATCCCGTTACCGCTCCGAACAAAATTTGAGTACAATATACTAATTATTAAATATTTATCTTACTAGACTTGGAAAAAGCGATAAGAATTTATTGAAGTAAAAAAATAGTATTTAGAATTAAATACAGTTGTGTAGGTACAGCTTGGCAAAAAGAGTTTAACGCGGTTACAGCTTGATATTGACTTGGACTGAATCATCCACTTTGCACCATTTCCCATGAATACGCAATCATTCCAACACAGTACCTCCCCTTTTTAAATTTGATAAAAATAACAAATAATAAAGTCGGTTGAGTTGTGGTGTACTGTACTGGTGCATCGAGCTGTGTGGGATGCCAAAGGTTTACGATACTAGCGACGTCAATTATTCCAAACTCTTTTATGCCAAGCTTTACATTTCCAAGCCATTCTATGCATTTATATTGCCTACA